AAGGATCATTTGCCTAAAACCATAGGCCAATTTTCTTCAGTGCAACTATCTGTTCTATTGATTTAACCAATTAGGGTATGGAAAACCTTATTACAGGCATCCCCAAAATCGGTCCTCAAAGACCGCTGTCCTGCAGGTTTTAGAGGTTTCCCTGCTTTAACACAGCTGATTATGATGATTGCAGTTGAGCAAAAGCCTGTTAATCAGCTTTCAATTAAAATCAGCTGTGCTGGATTAAGGAAACCTCTAAAACTTGCAGGACAGCGGCCCTCGAGGACCAACTTTGGTGATGCCTGCCTTATTAGATTGTACAAGAAAAGATCTTTACTGTTGAACAGAGTGGACACATTCATATTTTTCCTCAACATGAAATCACACAGAAAGGCTTTAAAAAGCTCTATAATGGGTCCTATTACCATGAATGTGAAGGGCCGCCAGGATGAAACGTTTTCCTTTAGAGCTTTTTGAACTAGGAACTCTCTAAGAACCTTTTTTGTTGCCGTTGTTGTTTTTAAAAATACTGTCCTTCAGTGTCTGAACAAATCTGAATATACAAAATCTGTTGGATGAAGTCAGAAAACAAGTTCATATGACGTGTTAGAAAGTGGAGATAGATTGTAACACTGTCATTTAGAACAACCTAGAATCTAAACGTACATGTAACTTTTTGAAACAGTTAGGACAAAGAGGGAAAATGTCAGGAAAATATACATAAAAACAGTTACACAAATGTGCAAAGCTGACCTATATCAATAATTGTAGTTTTTTTTCGAGATCTAGTCTTCAATATAAAAATGCCGCTTTTTCTCACGAATACCTAATGTGCATGTTGATAACAAGAATAAATGCAGAAGAAAATGTCAATTTATTTAAATGTCTGCAGTAAAGTATTTATTGCATAATCATACACTGGTGCAGGTATTCACTAAACTATGGCACTGATTACTATTCAGGGAAGCAAAACTTAAATCACATGAAGAAAAAAAAGGAAATACAAGGACTAAGTTTGTATGTTTAAGACAAATATCTCTTTTGCATATACTGGTTTTCAGCCATAGGTTATTGATATGTGCTCCATCGCTAACGTATTTAGTTAAGCAGAACAAATTAATTTAAGTTTTCTAATTACTTCCATGGCTTTACGTCTATGAAGTTTGGTGTGTAGAATCTTGACATGTCTGGGTGGGATTCCAACCCATGAATCCAAGGACCTACTTGCTACAAGGCAACAGCCCTACCAGTTACACCACTGTGAAGCCCTAGAAATGAACCAAGAAAGCTAAAGCTAATGCTTTTCAATTGAATTCAATTCAGATTTTTATTTGTTGAGCTGAGTCAAATTTTGCTGCTTGCACACTACTCTTTTCCCCAGCGAACCTCTGAAAGAAGATTCCTGCGAGACTCTGACTCAGATGAATATTTCCTGTGTCAGGCACATGAACTGCCTTTTTGTTTGTCTGAAAAAAGCACATGGACTACAGAAGGCTATCACTGCATAATACAGCCTGACAAAATGAACACATCAAAGCCAAAGAAGACTTATAAAATATTTTTTTTTTTGCTATATTATCAAAACAGCTAAATAATGTCTTTCTGATGCATAAACTGAAGCAAAGATATAGAAAAACCCACTAAATATAGTAGTACATTTCAAGAACTTATTTCAGAGTAATACAGTGTTGCCTTTCTGCTCTTTTTTAGTTACAAACTGATATTTAAGCCAGTTATCAGCTAGTAAACGTTTACCTTAATGCGTCAAATAAGTGTCAAAATCTGAATTCAGGAAATTTGTTCTTTGCTTTCCTGCTGCTAGCATGTTCTCGTGCTAAATGAAAATTAGTCCGTTATTTTTTCATTTCCAACTTTGACCTCCCCCCTCTGGCAGTTAGGAAAAATCCACAGAAAAGAAGCACCTTCTTATAAGCCGCATGGTTCAAAGTGTGGGGAAAAAAAGTAGCGGCTTATTAGCTGGAAAATACTGTAGCTACCTAATATTTTCTTGTATTTTGTTGCAAGCAAATAAAAAGGCTTTATTCTTTAGCCAAGTGGCCTGCAGCGTGTGGCCTCAGATGGAAAAGTGCTGAATTTTTACATCATCCATTCACTTTAAAAAAACGTTGGCATTTTATCTGGCTTCTCGTTAAATAGACCTTAAAGTTTGAGAAGGAGAGGATGCAGCATTTGCTCCCAGTGACAAGGAGCCAGTTTCTAGTATTAGGATATGAAACTCGGTTATATGACGTCCAAATGTCTTCAGGCTGAGCTGTGCATTAACATTGCATTTATATAATGTAATTGTGTGCTGTTCCAGCAGATAATCCCAGCTTTTGTCACAGATCCGAAGATCGTTTTAATGACAAAGGAGGATCAAAATCAATTACTGGATTTTGTTTGCATTGGGATTGTCCATTATGATAGGTCATTTGGACTATTTAACATGAGAAGAAGAAACATACAGTATACATGTGGGTGTATATGTACATTTATTTATCAGTCCTGTTCTTTCTCTTGCTATAAAAAGCCCCATGAAGGCCATTTGGATTTGAACATGTGTGGATGTGGATGCGTGTGGGTGTGTGTGTGTGTGTGGATGTGTGTGTGTGTGGATGTGTGTGTGTGTTGGAGGTCAGCAGGGAGTGAGGCTCCTCGTAATCCGGTAATCAAACCAGCTGCCACTGAACCCAACCCCCCACTTTTATACCCCTGTTATTTCTCTCATACTTCGTCTATTTCTTCCTTTAGTATCAGTGTTTCTGACTGTGTGTTTTCATATATTATCACAATATATTAATCATTTTGACAGTCTTCCTTATCTTGATTTTTTTTTCTCCATGTTTTCACATTTTCAGTCAGCCGTTGGAGGAAAAGGTTTAATTAAAAAGCTTTTTTTTATTATTTAGAATGTATTATAATTTTTTCATAGATATTTTTGATATGCCTGTCTTTTATTCTCTGTTAAACACCCCCCATTTATTGGCTTCTTCACCACTCACCCTTTTCCTGGTTTTTAATAAACCTCCTATGCTGTCCTTCATCCTCTGTTGCCTCCCTGTCCTCCTGATCCTCTGTGTCCCTGTCTCCATCTACCCCTCACCCTCCATCTATTTCTGTCATGTTCCTCTCTTTCCCTCATCAATGTATTATGTTTTCTTGCTTCAGGACCTCTTCTATATTACTTCCCTACTCCTTCATTTCACATTTACTGTCTTTTATTTGTTTGACTTAAAGATGAAGTCACCACCACACTTAGAAATTGCTTCCTCCAGCCAGTGCAATCCCTTTGTCACACCAGATTGCTTTACAGCGGACAATGCAGTCTATTGTGTATTCTGTGTTGATGATGAAACACAAGTTGTGTCTGAAAGGGCTGTTGGTCAAGTGTGAACTGCTGTCAACCAAAGGTGCATAAGTGGAAATGGAAGAGAAGAAACAAAATGCCATGCATCTATCAGAAATTGAGAATTTAAAGCTGAATCAAAGCTTACAGATGGAATATGAAGAAAGACATTTTAACTGGTGAAGAAGAATACCAAAACTTACAGAATGGCAAAGGGAGATCTGGGCAGTGAATTTGGGCCAAAAAAACAGCATTAACAGGAGAAGGAACAAGTCAGGACCAGTGAAAAGGGGAGATCTTGAATACAAGCGAAAGTCTAGTGAAGGAATAGCGAAAAACGTGTAAGCATAATCAGATTAAGAATGAGCAACAGATGAGCTCAGTGAAGGTGGAGAGAGCTAAAAGGAAGCGAGAAGCAGGAAAGGAACAGGAAGGAATTCCCACTGAAGACAAAAAAAGACAAAAATATACTTAAACACATAAATAAACAGGAGAATAAGCATAAAACACAGAAATAAGCAGAGAACCTGACAATAAGGGAGACTGGGAAATGAATTAAAAAAATAATAAAACTTAGAATATCTAAAATACCAAGGAAGCAAACAAGCAAGGACAATCAACAAGCAAGGAAATGTTCAAAAATGCAAAGAGAAGAAATCAAAACCCAAATACCTCTGGATATTGACAGAATCTTGCAAAATGCTTTAGAAAATCTTTCAAACCCTTAATGCAGTGGTGCAGTCTGTGTGATCAGAATCAGAATTACTTTATTAGACCCTTGTGGGAAATTCTTTTCTTGCAGTGCAAACGTTTACAGAAGAGAGAAAAATAAGATTTTGAGTACAAATAAGATATAAGAATAAAATAAGATAAGGATAAGAAAATACTGGGCTATGTTCTGCATTATCGCCATATTATCTCTTGGATTTATGTGTAACCATCTAAAGTAAACAGAGGGTTAACTCAGTGATCAAGCTTTCAGGAATTGTGTCAAATTATGGGAATGAGTTCTTCAGAAATTTTTATTTTTTTTTTTCTGTACTGTGCTTTCTTGGATAAGAAAACTGTTAATTGATATAAAATGGTCCTTTTTCTAAACAAGTTTTTAAACAACTTTTGTCATGAAGTATGATTAGACTAAAAATAAAAATATACATATAAGAATTAAAGTATTCTTATTTTATTCTCTAATGAATTATACCTCTTTCTATGTAACTTTACCAAGTTATGGTAAGCATCTACTTATAGTTCACCTTTTAAAGGTATAGTCTTGGCCCCAAGAACTAACGGTCATGGTGTGCAATTGTCATCTGTAGCCTTCTACAATTATTCTTGATTAATACTGAAAATATTGCATAAACAGCATGGGCAACAAATATGCAGTTTATGTCCTTTATTGTATTTTAGTTGGCTTGCACCTGAGATATACATATTATTTAAACAGTTTTAGTTTTTTTTTATTGACTGTCATTAGATCAATTTGTTGTGTTTTATTTTTGATATTTTAAAAAGATAAATAGATTGCCAGGAATTTTCCTCCACAGATGGCCTTTCTTGTTCTTATCTATTTTCCATTTTACCAGCCATGTGTATTACCCAGAAACAAAAACACATTTAGATTAACCTTAGTTTTTCCCCTCTCATCTGTGTCTTAACCTTTCAGATGGCGTCCACAGCATCTCAGCCCAGTGTGTTCTACGTGTCCTCATCATCACAGAGGACATGCTGGGCAGTAGTGTCACCGTCCGTCTTCAGAACATGTCTCAGGAGCACTTCCTCTCACCGCTGTTGGGCAACTTCCTGGAGGGCGTGTCTGCGGTGCTCTCGGTGCCAGTGGAGGACGTTTTCATCTTCAACATCCAGCCAGACTTGGACACAGCACCGGGACGCATCCTGAATGTCAGCTTCTCTGCCGCATTGCCAGGCGGCCATTTCTTCCCCTCGGAGGCTCTGGAGGAGCAGCTGTATTTGAATCGGCCCAGACTGACATCACTGACGCAGATGGAGGTTTGTTTACATGAAACAACACAGATATGCTCATTCATAGCCAACAGACAAGTCACTGCTGTATTTAGTTCTGTGTCCCTATTATTCAACTCAAAATCCCATTGTTCAGCCATGTGTTGATCTGATTGAAAACCATATTCATGTGTTCATTTTAAGGGATGTTTAGTTCCTTTCTTGCTCAGGATTTAACCCAAGTAATATCTCTGCTATAATACAACAACATAGAAACTGATCATAAGATTTTAAAAGGGATACATTTTGATGAAAATATATTCCAACTGAATAACAGATATTTTTAAATCTGTGTTGTATGTAGTAGTTATTTCTAGACATCCAAAAAGACATTATGTCTTTAGGTCCTTGTGAAATGTCATTGACTTTCTGCAATTCAAATAACTGCAACATATTGAGCAGAAACTCTATCAGTCAAATAATTGTATGAAATATTATGAATGAATATGAACTGATAAATTACTTTAATTCAATTTAGTAAAGAAATTACACACTTAACACATGCAAACATTGGGTATAATTGATCAAAGATATAATTATATGTACAATTTATTTCTTGTTTATAACATAATTTAAAGAAGTGAAACGTATTGAAGTACTCCCTTTTTCCCTTCTTTAAGTCCTTTAAAACAACTCCCCTATTCCCAATCAACTTATGAATCCATGCTCCAAAAATTCATTAAGAATTAAGAAATTCATTAATAAAAAAGTTATGATCTAACTATTATATAAACGTATATTCCTTTACATGTGCCTACTTACCGGTACATTTTCATTCATACAATTATTACCCATAGCCCACACCACCACAACCATTGCAAAAATATTATACACCCATCTATAGTCCAGTAAGAGTCCCCATTGATGTTCACCTCCCCCCTCCATCTCATATATTTTCAAGAAAACAAGCTTGAGCTTTTACCTAAGGATAACATTTTTGTTCTATGCTTTCACCACAATTATTGAAACCCAGTCTTTTCAAATTTGTTTGAGCACATAAGATTTTACTTTTTTTTTATCAGACATTAAAGTAGGAAAAACTTAAACAAACAAAGAAAAAGCCACAAAGAATTTGAAGAATACAACAGTGTTCTAATAACTGTTTCCTTAACTTTATTTCATCATTAGAATGTACAAAATACTAAAAGAGGATATAAAAATATTATACCTATCACCCAAAATGCAATTTATTTGTCAAAACTGTTTATATTTAGCTGTATTGGCACATCAACATATGTGGACCAGCTTAGCTTAGCTTAGCAGTAGAGACATATATGGAACAATAATATTTTTGAGCTGATTCATGAGCTGATGGCTACCTTGGATTTTGGATATGCCATATGGATATGCTACATGTTCAGTGAAATGTTCACAGCACTGCATTATCTTACAACTTGATCGTTCTAATACAAAATTACAGCTAATAATCCAGTGAATAAATGTGGTGGCAATAGAAATAATAGTTTACATAACAAACTGATGCGCTGGTAAATATAGAGATACTCTTTTTCCACAGAGTGATTAACATGGTTATCTGTTTATTAACCAGCAGTGAAATTACTTATTGTGAGACATTATGGAATAAATAACACCTCTGTCTGTATGTTGCTAAGGGCCACTGTCGCTAAGGACCACTGTCACACATCTGTGGTGCTGAAAAAGGGACAGTCTGCAGCTGTCATTGTTACCTGTCCTTGTTATACAAGTTATGCATTTAGGAATGACTAATATTGGTGAGAGAGAATGACAGAAACGTTTTAGCTTCTCTTTGTTGGTAAGCAGTTGTTGACGTTTTCCATTTGAACTCAGGAGCCAACACTTCTTTTTCCCTTTTTTTTTTTATAAACTTAAAACAATATCATTGTCTTCAATACAAAAAACCTAAGAAATCAATGAAAAACTAAACATTTTCCTGTTTTTTGTGGTATCTGAAAAGATGATGTGAAAGATGTTTCGGAGCAACATTCCTTTCAGAAGTTGAAACATTGACCTTGATCGGTTGTGACAGTTGGAGTGATTTAGATGCAAGAAGTTACACTGCTTTGTTTGTACCTCTAAGTCATCCTATAGGCAATAGGTTTTTTTTTGTTTTGTTTCTTTGTTCATTCACATGAACAGAAACGCTCCTTTCTTCACTTGTCTGGCTGCGTCTTTTTCACATTGCAAACACATATGCCATCTGTGCCAATGTGTGATTGCCAGTTATGGTTGTTTCTGGGAAGTAAAATAAATGTTATAATCTCCATGCTTATTTAAATTCAGCAGTCCACACCTCTTTTGCACCTGCTATCAACTGCACATGCAATTTTAACAGATCAGCCGCAGCACACCCACTAATTTCATGTACATGTATTTTTCTTAATCAGTTTAGCATAATTTAGCATAATATAACTTATTTGGAATCTAAGTAGATTAGGTCGAGAGGGATGCATCTATACATATTAATGTAAAGTTGTGTAAAAAAAATGTGCAAAAGTGATGGTCAAGTCTAGATCAGATAATTGGATCCCTGTGAGCATTTTTAACAGAGCCAAAGAGTTTGTAGGTGATTTTCAAATCAGTGCTTCAGGATCCACTGCACACAAATCTATGACATTGGCTAGAGCTGTGATATCATTAGTGTTTAGCCACTCCAATGCCAGGATCATTCTACCTGGGAAAGTGATTCATGTTTATATTTACTCTGAAAATCAAGGGGAGTGAAGAGGCACACAAATTCGTTTCTTGAGGTATATCAAGCTAGAAGCCCTGTTACAGCTGTGCTGACAAGCTTTATGGAGATACTCACTTAAGTTTCCAACAGGACTTGGCAGCCTTCCAGTAGTACAAATGCACCAGTATCTGCTTTAAAGGCCACTAAATGGATATTCTTTTAGCACAAAACTGGCGTGACTTAATCCCCTCAGATAACTGATATAGTTTTATCAAGATAATGATTAGAAAAACCAAATATAACAACGCAAATGACTTGAAGATCACTTTAAAGCAACCTGGGCTTACTTAGCCCCTCAGCAGAACCACGGGAGGGTCAAATCATCTGTCTCTGTGTTGTCGCCAGCTGTAGGCCACAATCATTATGGTTTAAAATAATGATTATATAACATATTACTCTATTTACATAATCTAGTTTTGAAATTAAATTACTGAAATGAAAACATTTTATAATGCAGCTAACTCAAGAAGTTCAAATTTCTCAGAGTAACAAGATCGATTTCAGGAATATCTCCCATGAATTGACAGAAATACAAACCAGATGCTAATCACACTGTAGCCATATGGCTTCATGCAAGACTTACACAAATATCAGCACCATATGTTACCATGGATGAAATCCACATAGTACCTGCACACAACACTGGGCATCAGTTACTGTATCTACATGTGTACTCAGCCCTGAGCATTTACGCTCACACACAGAACTAAAACACACAGATACACACCTGCACACGGAAGCACACAAAAACATGGATGCACACAGATGTTCTAATGAATCTGAACATCATAAAAATCTCCAGGGAAAATAGTTATTAGAGGAAGCACAGGAATGCAAGCTGGGGCGTTTATTTAAAAGTATAAAGACAACACATAAAATACAAAACAATTATTGTGAAGAATCTTCAGTTTTATCTAATTTAACAGATCAAATGGAAAAAAGCACCAGTTTTTAAAGACATTACGGACCTTACCCACCTTAATGACAGACTATTTAAAGCTGTCCTCATGCTGTTCATGTTGTGGCATATTTCTAATCAGTAATTAAGACACTCTAAGGACAAGCTGTTGGTCAAGCATAGTTTTAGCCTCAATCAGTCGCACCCATCCTAAAATCATAAATTTACCTTTGAAAAGAATAAAAAAAAAGGAAATCTATTTCCTCCATCAATTTTCATATTTTAATCTCTGGCGATCTATGGGCAAGAGGTGGGGTACACCCTGCACAGGTCTCCAGTCTGTCCATGGCAACACAGAGACACACAACAGAGACACACAACCATGCACTCCTGGAGATAACCCACGTATGCACGGGGTGAACATGCAAACTCCCCGGGCTGGGAATACAAACTAGGACTGTTTTTCTGCAAGGCAACAGTGTTACAAGCTGCTTCACCGTGCAGTCCAGAAATCTATTTCTTTTTACACTTCTAACAAAATTAACATCAGAGCTCATGTTAATGAAAACAATGTCCGATGTTTACATTTGTTTTAAAACAGGTGCAGCATTTAGAAATGCAGATAAATATAAGGCATCATTTCCCTGACAATAGAAAGTAATGGTTCTCATGGGAAGGGCAAATATAACCTCAGATACTGAAGGAAATTTGCACATAAAAGACAGAAAGTGATTATACATGTGCTGAAAACAGGACAGTTAGAGGACTCTATTAAAAGTTTAGAGAGAAACTCCAGGAACCAAAGTTTGTCAAGGACAAAGTGAATCAAAACCTTTAAAATAAGAAGGAATATGATAGAAACTAAGTAACAGGAACAAACTATCAATGAAAAATGGTAAGTCATTTCATACAAGCTGTTCAAATAGATCATAAAAACTATATTTTCACCAGTTATAACATAAAACCAGATATAGATGGAGCTAAGCATCTGACACAGAGTAAGGATTATGCACTAAGCAGCTGCCACAGAGGTTTTTAGTTTAATCAGATTAATTGAAAAATATATTTTAATAATGGAATAAAAATGATTTTCACTGATTAACATCTTATAATCTGTAGGAACAGATGTAAGCTGGACAAACACATTGGAATCTTTCAGACATTTCAAAGAAATTTGGAACCTTATTTAAAGATTAGAGCACCAACTAAGCCAGTGTCCTTCATATTTTAGATGTCTGAATAGTTAATTTTCCTTCTCCGTATGCCATGAAGTTCTGCTTTGGCCTTGAAATGAAGCATCCATTTAGTTCATATGCGGTGAAGCAGAGAAATATATAAAACATGGAGTCCAAGAAGACAATAGACACCAATACCCTAATGGTTTCCTTAGGAGCTGCTGATTAACAAGGATATTGTGGCCATAAGGTAGGGCTCTTCTTGTACATCTAACTTCAGTTGTTACTTACCACACTCTAAGAAATGAAAAAGTAATGCTGCAAGCTTTATGAAACGGTTTTATGGTCAAATAAGTTCAGAAAGTACTTTTTCATATGAACATAAGCAGGTTTAATTGTATCTAAATAACAAGAAGAGATGAATAGGTATATATGCTAATTAATATTGTCCACAGTTACTTATGTTATAAGAAATGAAATGGGGGATATTACTATTATTGTTACTGTATGTAACTTAAGTTCCCATTAATAGTTAAAATTACCTTTTCATGCTGGACATAGACAAGTGTGTTTCTTAACAAGTACAGATTTAATTTGACTAAAGATAACCCAAATACTTCAACATAATCCTGTCAGTTTAACACCCAATAGTTATTTAGGAAAACTTGGAGGGATTGGACTTTTTGTTATTTCCCAGAATGCTTATTGATGTCCTTTTATATGTTCTGTGGCACAATGAGTGAGATGGAAGTTCTCAATTATGACTTTCTGTTAAGACTGATCTGTGAATTTGTTTAAATGTCATATCTGATTATCCTAGTTATGTCAACTGGTTCTGCATTTTGTGTATATTAAAATCTAATAATTAAATTCTATAACATTAATCAAACAAAACGGCATTGCTAACCCTTAGAATCTTTTAAACTTAACTTCACAGCATTAAGTTATATAAACTTAATGTTTACAATACTGTATTAATTACTAATACTTTTAGTAATTGAAGTTGAAAGTAAATATATAAAACTCTTTGCATTAAATCTGCAGAGTTTAGTGGAACCAGTAGACACAATTTAAATAAAGTCAACATCATTTTTTAAGCCCACTTTGTCCAATTATAATTGAATTATCAATTTTCTATTTTTGCTTTAAATAAATTTGGTAATATGTGACTTGAATAAATATCTACCAGTGGTATTTTCTATTGAGTTATATTGGCAGTGAAGTGAATATAAGATTCACTTCTAATAAACGACTGTGATTTCTTTTCGAAAATTATATTTAATCAAATTATACGTGCGATTTAAGAATCTTTATGACCATTCTTCTCTATAATTCTTGAAGGTCCTCAACAACAAATTAAAATACTAATATGCACTGATATATATAGATTGGTATGAAATTATTTGTTGACAGATATGAAAGGAACTAGGAAAAGACAAAAAAGTAAATCCTAGATGAAAATTGGTTGCTAATAATAAGGTTAGCTAAACTCACTGCTACTTGAATGCCAATGATACTTTGACTAAATTATTAGTTTAGAAGTTTTCCTTAAGTAACATCAATATTGACATATGTTAATTTTAACTAATATATTAATGTGTATCAAAATCCAAATGAGTCTTATTTTAGCAAATTAATGTAGAAAAGATTAAAAAATCTTTAAAATGGTAATATAATGATCATGCCATCATGCAAAGAATTATCTTATTCTACTTTAATCTTTTTAGCGTTACTTTTTTAAATTAGCTGATCGAATTTCCCAAATATTTAAAGTTAAAATAAACCAACTGAACCAAAACAAAAACAGAACACTTCACATTTTTTGCTTTTTCTGTAGGTACCAGTTATCATTACTCAAAGTTGCAGGTTTAGTTTTCCAGCTTTGTCACTGGAGTCCATCTATCTCTGCATTAATTCTTCCTACAATTTACAGCCACTACTTAGAGAAAGTACTGAGAGGTAATTGGGGTTTTGGTTGAAGGTATTGGTTTTGTAATGGAATATACTTTATTGTATCGATTTGCCTTCATAAGAAAAGAGTTTGAGTTTTTCCATCTCTGCTTATGATGACTCACAGGAATATCCATTAAAAGAAGCATTAAAGTTTCCATTGATCTCAACTTGTGTTTATGCAAAGCTGGCAGAAGTATGGATTAAATGCAGGAAAAAGTAGGAAGGTTTAATCCTACAGAACATAGACTTTAATTGTGTAAAAGCTTTGAAGAGAAAACACAAACTGTGGGGACCATAATGATGGAACAGTTAAAGGTATAGTGGAGGATTTTTGCGAATTTAAAAGTTGCTGTTTGCATCGCTCATACAAGTTTTTTTTTTTTAAAAGGGATTTGCAATTTTTTCACCATGTCAGATTAACCACTGGTAAGTGAAAATGGTTAAGGACAGCCTTACATAAACAGATCCCCAGAATGATTGACAATTAGGAGGACCACTTATTTTGATGATCCACCCTGAAAAAGAACATCCTCCACTATACCTAACAGGTGATCTGCAGATTGAGCATGAAAACCAGGAAGCACATAAACCAGAGGGGCTGACTGGAGACAGAGATGAACTCTTAAACAGTCGTGCTTTAAATTTATTAGCAAAAAATCCTCACAATAACCTAAAATACATTGGAAAAAAAAATCCAAGAGGAATTTTAGTAATTACAGCAAGGTGTTTTTTTTCTTTTCCCCAATTAGATGTATTTACTACATTTACTTTAAGTCCACAAAGCTTTTAGGTGTCTCTTTGCAGGTTTTGGTATGGATAATAAGTAGTAGGCTCAGTAGCACCATTTGATAAAGACAAGGATGACTTTTGCTTTAAAAAGGAAGTTTATTCCTGGACTAAAATAGTACACTTTGATTACACTTTTCAGAATTCAGAGGGTGTTGTTTAAAAGGATATTAATATGAGTAGGACCAAAGCTTTGCCAGTATGTCTATTAGTTACTCTGCTGAGCAATGATGGTTGGTACATGTCTGGATCGAGGTTGTTCTCCACAGATAATTTTCTCTTTTCTCTGTCCTCTTCCATTTCTCCAGGTTCTCCCATTTGATGATAATGTGTGTTTGAGAGAGCCCTGTCAGAACTACATGAAGTGCATCTCAGTGCTGCGCTTTAACAGCTCTGCCCCCTTCATCTCCTCGCCCTCCATCTTGTTCCGGCCAATCCATCCTATCGCTGGTTTGCGGTGCCGGTGCCCGGTGGGCTTTACGGGCGATTACTGTGAGACAGAGATCAACCTGTGCTACTCTAACCCCTGCCTGAACGGCGGAGTGTGTGCCCGCAGAGAAGGAGGCTATACCTGTATCTGCCGTGAAGACTACACCGGTGAGTGGGATAGAGAGCGTACAAATGTTGGCAAAAAGATCTGCAATCATAGTTTAAAAGATTTGAAATTTGTGTTTTAAAACTAACCTACTGATAATGCGTTGTGTTGATTTTGAGCTGCTCTGGTAGGCTGAAGTTGCTATAAAGTCTCCTATTTCCCAACCTACTCTCTTATATTAACTTGCTGATATTCCTTGCACAACTCCTACAATAAAAGAGTGCCCTGGAGTCTATAAAAGAAGTGAGGATTTGGCCATCAGCTTCATTAGAGAGCAACTATAATGAAAAACAGTTTCCCATACATAAACACTGGAGGTAATTACACTCACAGCCATTAAACCTTTCAACACGCTACCTCTTTAATTTGTGTAAGAAAGAAGACGTTTGAATGTCCAGGAATGTCATAATAATGAAATCCTTAAATAATGGATTTGAATACATTTTTATGTTGCAATGATTATGAAACACTCAACACAAACTTTTAAAAACTAAGAAAACTAAAACACTTGCTGCTATCAGTTTGATCTGGTGTAATTCTGTATTGTTATTAGACAACTCTTCTTATTGATTATTTGATTTATTTCTGAATGCACCAGAACGGCTATCAGCAAAAGAGACCCCAAGCATGACGCTGCCACCCCTGTGCTTCTCAGTTAATAGGATTTGGTATTTCTGGAGGTGGCTCCTTTAAACATTTTCTTGTCACTGTGGTATTGATAAACTGTCGATCATTTGCAAGCAGAGGCTTAGTTATTAATAACACTTCACAGTAAACGGTATAAATGGTCTTCCAGCACCCTATCGTCTATGATTGCTTAGGTTTTGTTGGTTCCTGGATTGGTTTGTTACATTCGAGCCTTTTTCACTTCATCTGAGTGTCATATTTTACATTAGATGTACAATTTTGGACATAACTGTGTGTTTGAGCAGAACACTGATTCAGTTTCTGTTTAAATTGAAAGATGATGTGTTGTAAATATTCTCTGCCTTTTCTTTTTTCCTGTCAGCTGCAATGTTGAATGGGTGGACCAATATTAAAACTGATATAAACTTTTCATTTTATTATGAGATTGATTTTGAATCATAAAAGAATCCGTGTATTTGTATCAGACGTCACAAAAAAAGAATAATTTAAAGAAACTTAACATGGCTATATGGTTAAAATTGAATATACGGTTTCTATAATTGCTTTTTACTTATATTATATATATAAAATCTAAGGAATTTGTATAGCTTTTTTATTTTTATGTAGATTTTTTATACACACTGGAGAAAGACAGTACTTAACATTATTGATTTAAAGGTTGAAGCAGTACAAAAGTAAAGAGCAGTGAGTGCATCTGTCTGTTTTGTTGTAAGTCTTTAAGTGTGCCCTGATAAAGTAAAGCTGACTGTCAGAACTTCTTTGTTCTAGTCCCACACTGACTTCCTTTTTGATCGCCTCTGTTTTCTCTCTTTTGTCATGTTGAGCCGAACAACATGAAAACACAAAGACTCAGCCTCATGGGAGATATTCCTCCTCTCCAACTACCTGTTACTCTGTCTTTCACACAGATACACTCTCAGACATACACACCAATAGAAAGACTGTTGGTATTTTTTAATTTGTCCCCTTTTTGAAACCCAGAAACACAAGCTTTCCATCTTTCTAACTGTACCTAGCCCAATATACCAAACTATGTTGAGAGAGCAGCATTTTTCTTCTATGGCACTTTATTTTTCCTCAACGATTGACTCGATGTAAGTGAGTATAGATGCTATGAATGTCTGGTTGTGTAGTTTCTATGTGAGTCCTGGGAATCTCCTTTTATTTTGATTCAAAAGAGAACTGGAGGAGTGAGGAGACACTTTTCTTTCATGAGCAAGACGGAGTGTTTTCCAGCCTCCCACTGAGACAGATGGAAACAGATGAATAGAAAGATAAGAAATGAGGAGAGCTGAAAGAGAAGAGAAATGACAAAGTGAAAGGGAGATGGAGGCACTCGGGAAAGCTTAAGAAACGCAGAGAAATCCGAGAAGTTGAGCTGAGAGAAACATGAGTGGGAAGAGGTGATAAAATCTTTATTAGGAAAAAATAAAAAGGAAATGAAGAATTTATTTCAGATCATTGGATTTAGCAGAGAAACTTTATTTATTGGATGAGAAATGCGGTAATTTTGTTGTCTGTAAATCCCAGACTGTCTGAGCGGATCACTCTGAAACATGGCCACCAAAGATGATTCAAACCTCCAGACAGAGGACCAGTAGAAAATTTAGAATAATATATAACCATGGGATGGTTACAGAGCTGTAGCTTTTAAAACTATGTGTCCCCAGAGGATGCTGAGATTTGTTGATGGGGTGGTTTTTTTTAAGAAATAATAAGAATTTGTTGATGGTTATTGAACTATGAGTTAAGAATAACCTCTTGGTTGAATGTTGTAAATGATTTAAAAACCAGTAGGATTTGCTGGGTATTGTTGGAGTCAACTAAAACAGACTGTAAGAAGTGAAGTTTGAAAATAAGCAGTGAAATTTGAAAATAACATATTTATCTCCATTCAATGCAGTGAACTGACAGAAGAACAATCTTACTAAATTCATTTTTGGAACTTAAACCACAGTATTAGTTTCTTTGCAAGCTTTTTCTTCTTTTTTTTTTTTTTACATGTAATCCCCAGTGGGTGTTGGTTGAGCACCTCCAAACTGTACTTTTTAATTAAATAAACTCCCCTGATTCTTAGCAAAGCCTCCTCATGCAGAAATGTTGCTTCTTAAGTTTCAGGGATCTGAGATCATAGACTTTCCCTACAGAATAGAGTTAAGAATACAATTATACAGTTATAGTTATGGGTTGATCTTTCTAACCTATTTGGGAAGACTCCTTTCACATGTTGTAATTTATACTTCATCAGTCCTTTTTTATTTGCCAAAGTGAAAGATTTTGGCTTCCTTGCTCTACAGTTATTCCTATGTAGATTATAATCAGCGAATAGAAGCTGTCCTATGATTGTTTTCCTTAGGCAGCATGATGTTTGAGAATCAAAATATTGCTTAACATTGGTTTGCTGGTTTTAAGCTTGCACCAAAGACCCTAGAAATTCCACCAAATCTATTAAAACGTTGCATCTACTCTACTTAGCTACTTAAAAACATATTATAAAGACCAAATATGAGGCGTCATGAAGAGCATAAAGGTGAATGTATGTAAATTATTTAAGGATAGGCCAAACAAACCGAGAGATAATGAAAGACTGTTTGGAAGGAGAGAGTCGTGTATGACAACCTCATGAGCCATGGATGGAGGGAGAAGGATGAACTGAGTGAGAATAGTAAAGAGGTAAAGCTGCCGGGCAAAATGGATGAAAAGAGGTGAGAGAGAACAAGGGAAATCAGACAGGGTTCTGGGCTGTTTTTGTTGCTGTTCTCTTCCTGCGTGGGTGCCGGGGTGTGTAGCATCTCGCCACTGCCCCGAGGCAAATAGAGGGAAAAAGGCGGACGACGAGAAAGAGTCAGGGACGAATTGATTCTGCAACTCCTAGAAATCTCCAGACATCAACCAACCGTGTTTGCTCTATCCTTTCAGTTTTCCGTCCGGCCCGCCTTTACCCAACCCTGTTGGCTTTGATTTGGTTTTTCCCAGAAACTCCATGGATCGCTCTCACAGACAGGAGTTAAGCTTGGCCTGGGGTTTTCATCAAGTCTGGAAACTATGGTTTTCCACAGAGGGAGTCGTATTTTCAAGTCAAAAACAAAAGTGTGTAGAAACTAATATATTCTTTGCTTATGAAAAGGTATCTGGTTAATAGTGTATGTAATGATACACCAATAATAACACTTGTGTAAATGCAATCTCTGATTTTAGGAAGTTAAAAAAGAACTGTTGCACAATGTCCCTTTAACTCTCTCTGGAGCCAGCAGTGAGGTTTTTTTCTTACTTCCTGTCATTGGCAGACTGGCATAATGGTGATAATGCAGGCTGTGCAAATACATACACAGGGAGCAATACAGGTCGGACTGAGCTCCTTATAGATGTGCTTCTTTAGCATCATGTTTGGAAAAAGTAGCAGTAATGTAGCTTCTCTACAGGACATTGCTGTGACCTACAAATAAGCACTGTAGGTAATGCCATTAGAGTCACATATTTTAATGGAAACATGTTTTTAAGAGGATATACTTTATTTTGGTTATAAAATAGCAAAGAAGTAGAAAAAAATATGATGAAATGTTCTACAGGCGCCAAACTAAAATTGTGAATCAAATTTGATCTAAAGAAGGTCTTGATAATAAAATTATATTGAAATGTTGTAGAAGTTCCCAGCTTAGAATGCATGTAGGCATGTATACATGTAGACATTAAAAACAACAACATGTAGATTATATAAAACACTGTTGGAAGAGTATGGAGTTGCACCACCTTGCCCTGATCTTTTTTTTCATTCGAGAAATAAGAAAATAAATGTCCGATGAATGCAACATAGGCCCAATGGTATGAACACTCAAAGAGGAGTTTATATGGAAGCATGCACTCATTGAGTATAGACGCCACACACCCACTGAAAAGCATGTGTGAGATTTAAACAAAGCACAGCTGATCAGAAAAGGGGAAGGTTGGGAGTTTAGATAAAGGTCAATAAAGCCTGACATCATGTTGTCATCATGAAAGAGCTGCCTGATATTCACATCATTTTGAAAACAAACCAGATTAAAATCACTTCTTTGTTTACCTGTTCCATGGAGGCTCTTTCTGCTCACTGCCAGCCACCACAGAAGAATAATTATTAACCTTCTGCTTTCTTCTGTGACAATTGTAAATAGTATCAGTGCCAATAGCCAATAAAACACAATGCTAAACTCAGCAGCTCATCGCTCTCTCCTTATCCTCTGTGCCCTTAGCTGTCTCTGGACTCGATTAATAAACTAAATGTGGCTGAGAAACAGTATCTGCAGCATGTTTTGTCCAGCTTAAATCTTTAAGCTGGACAAAACATGAGAGTTGGTTTTAAACTTTATTTAATTTTTAACAAAGAAATCCCTGT